CCACGTGATGGTCAGCCTTTGAGGCTGCGGGCGGCAGGCCCTGTGTGACCAGGGACAGTGGGGAAGCACCTCCTCACTCTCACAGGGGAGGATGTGTGGCAGACGTAACTGCACACTTGGGTATTCGGCACGCATTTTCTCTAAGAGGACCGAGGTGAGCCTGTCACTGTGAGGAAAATAATTGGTAGTATTTGTTGCCAGAGATAAAACTCAACCTTTTAACTATGTGCTTGGAAGCTTCCCCTCCCTGGAACCTGACGGAATCCTGGTGTGACCCACCAGGGAGGCTTTTTGATCCTTGATAATGAAGTGCAGCCGTGCTGGGAAGATCTGCCTGACGTACCGCCTGGAGAATTTGCAAGTGAGCACTGCTCAGTATTGCAAAATTATGCGTGGGTCAGAGACCCATTTTAAGAGCAAGATGGACAGGTGGATTTTCTGTAACAGAACTAGTTGGATTTGTACCCATTCACCCGTTTGTTTGAATTTTCTAAAAATCCCCACTTTGGCAACTGAGGGGGGCCTGGTGAAGGAGACCACTGGGACGGGGGTTCAGGCTGGGGTGGCGGCAGACCCTCACTTTCTACTTAAAATCCAGAGTTATCGGTTTAGTAGGAAAAGGCACCTTAACGTGTGTTTTTCAGGTTCCGTGTTGCACCAGCCTTTAGCAGGTAGCACTTGTCCGGTTTGGGGGGAGTATCACAGGAGAGTGTCCACGGCTGTCTGGGAGGACCCTTAAAGTAGCCCCTCCTCAGGCGCTGTCTCCCAGGCCGCGCATAGCAGCCAAAGCCGCGCATCGCAGCAGCTGCAGCCGGTGGGCGAGGAGGCGCCAGCCGGCCCTGCCAAGCGGCCTGCAGAGCTCGAGGATGTTCAGCGCATGCCAGACTTCTCGCTGCCTTTTAAGATGTGGTTATTTTTATTACAGTGCTATTTAAGTATAAATTAATGCATGAACGTTTAAAGTCTTTCTGTTCTACTTTCTAAAGAAATATGATCAATATTTTTTCTTAAAGTGGCCGTAAAGCTAAAAGTAAGCCTGCTGTTCGTGTAATCTGATGTTTGTAGCTCAGATATCATTGGGTTTTTTGGGTTTTTTTGATACACTATTCAGTACACTATTTAATAAAAATAAATAACAAAGCAGTTCATTGCCAGGAAAAAAGTCGTGAGCAAGTGCTTGAACGCTGAAGCAAAGCAGGGGTCCTGACAGGAAGTGCAGAGGGAGGAGTTTGGGCGGCCTGTTCCAAGCGTAGCCCCCGCAGCTCTGTGAGTACAGGATTCGGGCCTGGGTCTGGGTTCTGCAGCTCAGCGCGGCCCCTGCTGGCCGTGCGCACACAGCGACGCGGGTTTATGTTGCGCTTTGGCTGTCACGGGCGGGGCACGCTTGGCCTTGGGTCACAGCTTGTTGACTCTGGCAGAGTTTCCCTGAAAGAAAGTGGCAGGCTTTGCCGGCTTGGCCAGGCCCCTTCGTGAGTTCACTGTTCCGGAGAGTGAGGAGTGTGGCGCTCAGCACTGCATTTGGGTTCGGGCTCGGGCTCGCATTCGCATTTGAGTTCGGGTTCCGGCTCACGCCTAGAAACAGCGTCTGGTTCTCAGCAGGCCTCATGTGGCTTCCCCGTGAGGACCAAGGCAGCGTCAGGCTTGTGGGGGTGCTACACAGACGCGTCTGGGGAACTTCTCTCTCCACGGCACGGGCATCGCCGAGGGTTGAACTTGGGGGGTAGTGGTCGGAGCCCACACGGTGCCCGGAAAACCCTCCCTCCGGCTCACCCTGCCTTCAGGGAATGTCGGTCAGCACTGGAGTGTTCACAGCCTGCCCCCGGGGAGGGGACTCAGCCCACCCCACCCTCCTCGCACACACCCCGATTTCCCGCCCTCACCCTGTCTCCTCAGCCCCGGTGACAGGGCGTCCTGTTTCCTCAGCGCCTCTGAGTTGGTGGCCAGAGGACCCGGATGCAGGGATGTCCAGCTGTGTGGGTGCTGTGGATGTGGGTGTAGGAGGCGCCTTGGTGGACGGAGGGGTGCAGGTGCAGCGGGGAGCCCCGCAGCTGGTGACGCCAGGCCTGAGCCTCTGAGTGCAGTCAGGCAGAAAGCTTCACAGAAATCAGGGCCGGGTTTTCTTTTTCTCTCTTCCTTCCTTCCTTCCTTCCTTCCTTCCTTCCTTCCTTCCTTCCTTCCTTCCTTTCTTCCTTCTTTTCTTCCTCCCTTCCTTCTGAAACTGGGTCTCGCTGTGTAGCCCAGGCTGGCCTCAAACTTACAATCCTCCTGCCTCGGCCTCCCAAGTGCTGGGGTTTCCAGTGTGCGCCACCACGCCCTTGAGGCTGGCTTTGTTTTTAAGCACAAACCCTCAGCAGACACTGGGAAGGTAGACTGGAAGGTAGGGTTCTCACCCAGTGAGAGGTGCGAGACCCCAATGAGAGCAGCAGCCCTGTGCAGTTCAGACTCACCCTGCCGATCTCAGGTCCCTGTGGACAGACCTGCCGGGCACCTGCTGCTGCTCCTGTCCTCTGTCCGCCTTCTGCAGCTGGGTACTGTGGGGGACGGTGGCAGCAGAATGTCACCTGCAAGGAATATGAGACGATAAAGTGTCCTAGTGTAACTTAGGAGGCCCTCTGTGATTGGGGGTTTATAACATACGCACAGTCACTTAACGATCCATCACTTAATGAGGGGCCAGATTCTGAGACCACATCCTTGGGCGCCTATGTCACTGCAGAGCGTCACAACACTCACGCAGCCTGCAGTGGAGGCCATGTCACTGGGCCACGCTCAGGGGACACTGAGGCATGCACAGTCCCTTTAGACGCACATGCGTCATGCATGTGCAACTGTGTGTTTTCATGTTGATCTCCTAAGCCAAGAGCTCATCCTAAATCAACAGTAAATTATCGGAAAAATGTGTGTGCAGATATCTTAGCTTTACCAGTGATGTCTTGAGTAGTTTTGGCCATTAAAAGGTTTGCTTTAACGTTTTTCTAGATTATGTGACCCTACAGAGAAAGAGAGTGAGCCTGTCGCTTGTGTGCCCTCAGATTCCCATGACGCCGTGCTGAGGTTTAACTCCGCTCCCACGCGTGGCTATGAGAAGGACGTTGGAAACAAAACCACCATCCGCATCATCAACTCCCAGGTGAGACATGGACCGGCCTCAGCCCTGCATTCCACAGGTGAAGAGTTTAACTGGGTGAGTGCGCAGAAGTTGCCTGGTTCCCCGTGGCCATCATACTTGTGCTGCAGGTCCTGTGATTGTAAAGATGAAAAGTGTGGAGGAATGGAGAGGAGGTGTGAGATGAACAGGAAGAGGTTGGTAAGATTAAAAGGAAAATCTGCTTGGACACATAGATTCATGATCTTATAGTCACATATGTGCCAGGCTGCCTTGTGTGACCTGTGGAAGGGCACTTATGCGGAAGAAATCATAACAGCGAGAACTGCAGGGGTTAGTGGGCGCAGTGGTACACACCTGTGATCCCAGCACTCTGGGCAGCTGAGGCAGGGGGGTTGCAAGTTCCAGCCCAGCCTAGCGACTTAGTGACTTAGTGAGACGCTGTCTTGGAGTTTCCAACACAGTTTTTAAAAAGGCTGGGCAGGTAGGTCAGGGTGAAGGTTCTGGGTGAGATCTCTACTGTTGGGGAAAAATTGCAGAGATTAAAAGGACACCTTAAAAATAAAGGCACCAAATCCGAGTTTCTGTGGATGTCTCTGAAACTTCAGTGACTTGGAGATTTGAAAATTTAACGGTGTTGTGGGATGCAAAACGAAAAGACCCATTGCTTCCTGTTCCTGCTGAGAAGTCTTCTGGATTTGTGGCATAATTATTCTCAACAAAACACCAATTTCTAGAGTTTCAGAAATTGTGGGAAAAATGAAGTGGTCAGTGATTTGCAGTGAGCTGTCCCGTAACAGAGGGTCAGCTTCCTGCACAGCCCCCTGGACAGGCTGCCCGCCACCCGGGAGAAACACCCCCCACCTGCTCAAGGCACGGCTGTGCTCGGCCAGAAGACCCGCTGTTCACTGAGTAACAAATGCTGGGAGAGGAGGGGAAGCCCAGCGCGTTGAAGTGCGTGTCCCCTGTACGGGGCTTCCTAATCTCAGGAAAGTAACGTGGGAAAAGCCCATGTTCATCACGGCGGAAGTCCCTAAATGAGAGTTTAAAAGGATGATTGGCAGCTCTGGCTCCGACCAATCATGGAGCAGAGCGAGCCCGGAGGGAGGACGGTGGCTGTCCTCCAGGGACTGCCTGGGCATGCAGACGCACACAGTGCAGGCTGTCTCCCGACCGCATGCCTGAGGAACTGGGGCATCACCCCTTTGGGGTGGGAGCCCGAACCCCTAGGCGCAGAGCAGTGCTGGTAGAAGCGGGGGAGCATCTGCAGGGCCCAGCCTGCCAGGAGGCTTCTCCCACTCCCATGGGGGTCAGAGAGCCTGCGCCCCTTGCTTCTTGCTCTGCTTCCTCCTCTTCACTGACACCTGTTTCTAAAATGTGGTTTTGAAGCAGCGGAGTTTTTAACATGGCTTTTCCTGTGCGTTTGCAGATTCTGACCAACCCCGGCTATCACTTCATTGACAGTTCTTTGTATAAAGACGTCGTTTTGGTGGCCTGGGACCCGGCTCCCTATTCCTCCAATCTCTACCTGGTGAGTGTTTCTGTGATGACCCGCCCCACATCACGGGAGTCATGGGCCCAAGGCGGGGACTGCCCTGGTGGGTGAAACCAGCCGGGGCACGGCTGGACCCGTGTGTGCACGCAGTGTAGACCCTGTCCACAGTCGCGTACTCGGTGCCCTCTCCGTTGGCTGCCGACCTGCTGTCATGCTGGAGAAATGGGCAGCAATGGGGCATCTCTGAATGCTACACTAAGGGGTGGCAGTTTCAATTCACGACACTTCTGTTGTGACAGGGTGATATCAGGCGCCTTTAGAAATCGTTGCAGTCAGGTTTTGCAAGGGAAACAGCTTAATACAGGACACATAACTTGTAGAGTTATTTCATAATAGTCACCCAGAGTCAAATGCAAAAGAGTGCAGGAAATCTGTCCACAAGAGAGACCCAAAGAATCCAGCTGAGAACCTGGATCCCACAGCAGTGTCCTGCCTGAGTTCAGCTGAATATCTAGAGCCCATCGCAGTGCCCCCCACTGAGCCCAGCTGAAGGCCTGGAGCCCACAGCAGTGCCTCATGCAAGTCTATTCATGGCTCTGTGCTGGGAAGGCCAAAGGTCAGTGGTGGAAGCTGGAAAGTGTGTGCCAGTGGGATGAAAGGTCTGTGCCAGCAGGCTGAGGGATCTGCACTGGAGCCAGGAAGCAACACTCAAAGTAAGAACCACAACTCTCTGAAGAGTACCACAGCCATCCTCAGTGACAGTGAGGTCCTGAGCTCCTCTGATGATAAGAACAGCTGAGTTCAACCAGCGTGACGAGCTTCTCCAGGACGTTGAACTGTGCAACATCTTCCCCCTCCAGAGCCAGGAAGCGATGGTCAAAGTAAGGACCAGAGCTCCCCCAAAGTGAGCCGTAGCCATTCTGAGTGACAACGAGGTTCCGAGCTCCTCCAAGGATGAGAACAGCAGAGTTCATATTAGGAAAGCCAGCAGGACAAGCTCCTCCAGAACCAACAGTCCTGTTTTCCCCTCCAGTTCTCCTTTTCAAGTTGTTGGCAGCAACCCTCAGGTGGGTCCTCCATATCCAGCACTGCACTTGTTTCACCTGGGTGCTACAAGTTGATGACCGGTTGTCAACCCACCATGGAAAGGAATCTGGAAGTGGCTAGCAAGAAAATCTAAACTTTGAGCAGCCACGGCTTACTGTTACTTACATGGAGCCTGTTCCACACTTTTCTTGAGTACTTCTGCTTGGCTTCTAAAAGGTAGATTTTCTGCAGTAGAGTTGCAAGAAGTTTATTGCCAGCTGCCCAAATACGAGCAAGTTGTGTGTGGGATGTGCGGGCAAATGATCATCTAGCTGAGCAAGGGCCTGGCTGCTTTTGGTGGAACCTCAGATGCAAAGCTAGGAACCTGGGTTTTTAGTAAGGCTGGGAAAGGTGGACCAGGTGAGCCCAGGGAAAAATGCTGTCTGCTCTTCAATGCACGTCCTTGACCTGGTTTGCCGGGACCTGAGAGCATGCAGCCTTTTCAAGCTGAACGTGGAGGACAGATGTTGGGTCCTGCCAGATGTGACCGTCTGAGAGAGCTAGTGGGAGAGCTGGGCCCTCCAGAGGTACTGGAGCCACTGTCTGTCTTGAGCTTGGGGCTGGATGTATGCCTGGCGCGATTGCCCATGGCTCATAAACAGAGGTGCACATCGGAGGCACCTGCATAGCGTTTCTCACAGTGTGTCCACCTGAGCCCATCTCCAGGCATGGGCAGCAGGGCCTCGCTGTGCAGCTTCTGAGGACACTCTCCAGCAGTTCTCCTGTGCTCCTCCACCACATCACAGTGGGTGGGGGCTGCTTTCTTCCCAGCCCGAGGTCCCAGGTGTGAATGCCAGCAGCTCCTTCGCTGTGCAGGCTGTGCCTTTGCACTTCTAGCTGCTGACCTCTTTTCTTCCTCTGTTGGAAGCACCCAGCCCTGGGCACAGACCCATACGTCTGATGGGTGTGCACGGGCACCGTGCCCACACGCAAGGATGCAGCCCTCCCACTAGGCTGGCCGCTCGGGAGGGAGGATGAGGCGGGAGAGGACATGCTCCTTCCCTGGCGCTGCGTTCCCCTTCTTTCCTTGCCAGTGCCGCCAGGCTTGGGGCTCCATGTGCCACAGAAACTCTCGTCGAGTCGTTTTCAACGGTATCAAAGCCACAGAACCTTCTAGACTAACTGGGATCTGAATACATGCCCATTGCATGCCATGGCGCCTCCTTAAAGAGAGCCTGGGGCTCTCTGACCCCCATGAGCCATGTCTCGCCCCTCTTTTCCTGACGCCAAACTTACTGGCCTTTCCACACAGTGTACCTATGATAAGCGTGCGTGCACACTCACAGAGCGCACAGGGAGTGTATACCCTGAGTGTCCACCAGTCCAGGCAAGAAGGAGAACTCCACCACACGCGTCCCCCGCCTCTGTCATGGTCAGGGTCCAGTGCTGGACCTAGTGCCAGGCTACCCTGAGGTGCTTTGTGTCACTCAAGATAGAATTTAGAGAACTTAATTTTAACTATATACTCTTTAAACCTGGAGATCAGTGCCTTATTGCCGGGGACCAAATCTAGCCACCTTCTGTCTTTATAAATAAAGTCTTATTAGAACACAGCATGTGTATCTATGTTTATAAATAAAGTTTTGTTACAATTCAGCATGACCATCTGTATAAACAAAGTCTTATTAGAACACAGCATGCCCATCTGTCTTTATAAATAAAGTTTTACTAGAACACAGTGTGCTCATCTGTCTTTATAAATAAAGTTCTATTAGAACACAGCATGCCCGCTCCATAGGTACTGTCTGGCTGCTTCCGTGTGCTATGGTAAAGGTAAACAGGGGTTGCAGACACCATATGGCCTGCTCATTTTCAGGTGTCCACTGTGCTACCCTTTGCAAGAAATGTCTGTTGACCCTGATCCAGGCCATAGTTCTCACTTTTTGCGTGCTTAGGCCAGAACCTTGGTTTCTTTGTGTATGTTTTCCGGAGGAAGCATCTCTGGTCTCTAGCAGAGATGAGTTTCAGGCTCCACCTCCCTCCCACCCCACCTGGCCCCTGTGTCTGGGCCCACGGGCTGCCCAGTCTCCTTGTCACTGTGCTCTTGACTGGCTTCTCTTTTTCCCTCAGTGGTACAAGAAGCCAGATTACAACCTGTTCACTCCGTATATTCAGCACCGTCAGAGAAACCCGGCTCAGCCGTTTTACATTCTGCACCCAAAGTTTATATGGCAGCTGTGGGACATTATCCAGGAGAACACGAAGGAGAAGATCCAGCCCAACCCGCCATCCTCGGGGTTCATCGGTAGGTGTGGGGCAGGGTGGGGCAGTGGAGAAGCAGGCAGGGAGTGACTTCCTGCTTAAGGAGCAGACAGTCGCATTACACAGCAAGAGCAGCTAGCAGTGAGGTGGTTTTGGAGAGGAACCCAGGAAGAGAGCCACACTGTCCCAGCTATCCATGGCCGCAAGACAGAATGCTGCAGAGTTGCAGGCTGGAACACAAGCGCCGTCCTATGCCTCTCATGCCTTTGTGGGTCAAGACCACCCATTCTGAGTGGCATCAAAAGGGGCACTCAGTGGTGTCCCACTGCTTCCTGGATGGCCACACTTATATGTCCAGCCCCTGGGCAAAATTTACTAAGAGCAGGCTCATCTAGGACCACTGGCCACATGCCTATATGTATCTCTTGTGATGGTCCCAAGGTCATGGTGTTGAACCCAAGGTCTTTTCACTGAGCCACATCCCCAGCCATTTTTTATTTTTTGAGACAGACTTTGATAAATTCGTAAACTGCCCAGTTGAACTCAAACTTTTGATCACCCTGTCTCAGCTTCCCAGAGTGCTGGGATTATAGGTGTGTACCACCACACCAGGTGATTCAGTTAGCCCGAGAATGCAGATGCAAGGGAGGGAGGATGCTCCTAAGAAAGGAAGCAAGAGTTTTGGTCTCTTCAGCCCCAGGCTGCAGACATGCACCATGTCTCCTCACTCTCCTGGTGGTCAGGGCAAACTCAGGCTCCCGGATGGCCTTCTGATTGGAGGCACTCAGGGACCTGCCAGGGTTGCGTAGCCCTCTTTAACCCAGTTCCGTTGCTTATGTGATGTCAGACTCAGGAGCTGGGCGCATAACCCTGGGAGGGAACAGGGTGTTTAAGATCACTGGGGGGTGAGGACTCTGCTGAGTCTGGCTCCTGCGCCTCACTAAGCTCTCCTTCAAACTCAGGCTTATGGAGAAGAGAATTACACGTGGCTTGTATTTTTGACTCTCTGTTTCCAAAGTACTCTTTTGCAATCCCCAATTCTCTTATCTTTTGTGCAGTTTCCTGTTGATTTAGGAAAAAAGATATAAACTGGCTTGTCTGCCCAAGGTAAGGCAGAATAGAGTAATGCTTCCAAGGTATAATGGGACATGGCAGAATTTTAATGAAGTCTTCTTCATATGTTGCCTTAAATTCATGTGACTAGTATTTGATTACCACAGAAGTTTGCCTCAGAGTTGCAGGGCTGTCAGATATAATTACTGTGAAAATGCTTTTAACAGTTCAAGTTAGATTGTCATAGCCAGGAGAAGTGTTTTCGTGTGTGTGTGTGTGTGTGTGTGTGTGTGTGTGTGTGTATATGTGTATGTGTGTGCACATGAGTGTGCACACGCACACACGCCGAAAGAATCGTGGCACATCCAGCCTTTCCTTTCCTCACTGTTTATGGACAGCCCGAAGCTTGCAAAGGCTCAAGTTGTGTTAAGCCTTCCTTTGTGTAAAGGGCAACTGCAGCTCAATGTCACTGCGGGAGCTGGGCTGGGCTCCCTGGATTTCACTAGATTTTTCTCTGGCACTTCTTAACTCTCCAATCTTGACACATTGCTTAATCCTTACACACTCAGTAGCCTCAGATGAGAAACAGGAATGATAGTAAAGCCTTCCGAGGATGCTGAGTATTGGGTTAATAATGTCCCTTAGTTATTGTGGATGATCACATCTGGGATCTCCCAAATGAGTGTACAGTGAAGGCTAAATAAAGAGGCGAATGGAATGATTTCAGGGCTCCAGGAGGATCAAAGCCCTCTCACAAAATTTGAGATTCTCTCCAGGCTAAGACCAAGACCTTCTCTGGGTGGGCCATATTTATTTAGTTATCAAAAGAAGGGAGGGGAGCACTCAAGACAGGCAGAACCACTGAAGGACTTCTCCAAGTATGCTTTAAGTTAATCCACCCAGGAGTGAGATGTCTGAGGCTGTGGTCTTTATCTAGTTGAGGTTAGATCCAGGTGTCCTTAGCTGTGACCTTGTCTTATCCTTTGAGGCTTTGAGGCTTCATCTGACATTACAGGCCTTAGTAGGGATTAGTGACTCACAGGAGTTCACTTACTGTGAGTCCATGTCCATCTCTAGTCAAGGAGCCTAGGCTTTGGACAGACTCACAAGTAAACATGAAAGGCCCATTGGTTAATTTAAGTTCTGCTCAGAGCTGCTTTGTAGTGGTCTGTATCACTGAGGATGAGATAGCTGGCCAGTGAGCAACCATTATTATTTTCTAGCAGGGGCTAGTACAGTAAGCCACATATCACTACTTAAATTTCAGCTAATTGAATTACATAAGCAGACAGCTCCTGTTTTGAGTCCCCACCAACACATGCCCCGGTGGCTGCTGTACTGCAAGGCATAAACAGGCAGAGGCTTTCCTGGTCCCAGGAAGCAGAGTTTGCCAAGTGGACGGGGAATCACACAGCTCTCAGGGCAGCTGTGCTCTGGCTGTGGTGTGGCATCATTAAATCCACTTGCCCCAGCTGTGCCACTCTAGGGTATGCAGGCCCCTCACCAGGGTGGGTGTGGGGGCAGCCTGGTCAGCTTTATCAGCACCCCACGTGCCCCTGGTGCAGTATGCTTAATCCCCCCTCTTTGATCCTAACCAGAAAAAGGCTGATAGTGCAGTCTGTCTCAGCATTTATCGGACTTTGTTTGCTAACAGTGGAATGATGTCACCCGTGTCTCAATCTGTCTGCCGTACAACTTTTAGAAAATCAATGAGGTTGTCTTTTTTTCTGCTGTCACAAATCTTTGCAAACTTGCTGTCCAAGGACATACTGAGAAGTGTTGAGTTGTGTCAGTGCCTGTTTGTTCCACATGCTCACCTCCAACCTCAGCTCCTAACCAAACGTCCTATGTGGAGCCCTTACGAGGGGTAGGGTGTCCCTGTGTGCATGGCCAGTGTTGTCCTGGTGCCTGTCAGCAGGGCAGCCCAAGCCAGGGAGCCCTTGGGAGGTGAGTGGGAGATTCGCCCTTGTGCCAGCAGGTTCATCCGCAGTGAGGAGCAGGCTCATCCTGATCACCCCTTTTCTAGCAGAGCCGGCACTTCCTTAATGGGCTTAGGAGTCCGCGTGTGAGAAAGAGAGGGACTCTTGGAGGTGGTAACTATTTTGAACACAAAGGACTGTCTCTTGAAGGAAGTGGATCCAGTGGTGTCAGGTCCCCAGGGAGATGCTCCTGGGCCCCTCAAGTCCAGTGGATGCTGTTCAGATACTTGCTGCTAGGTCTGAGTTCAGGAGCCCAGAGGGAGATAAACCCTTCCAAGTCACGGCCAGTGACCCGCCTCTCCCAACCAGACCCTCCTAACAGCACACACCACTCTGACCTCACCTGTAGATGAACCCACTGATAAGTATGGCACCTCTGTGATCCAGTCACCTTCTGGAACCCCACCTCCGAACACATAGGGTTTTGGAGGACATTCTGTATCTCAACTGTAACATTCTACCTCTGTCTCCCAAGAGGCTCACCTACCTCACTGTGCGTTAGTCCATCTCTAGGAGCTACCAGAGTCTTCACTGCTGAAAAGTCCAAAGTTGCCTCTGAGACTCAAGGCAAACTCTGGCTTGGAGCCTCTGTAAAAGTTAAAAAGAAAACTAAACACTTCTCACATACAATGGCACAGGGTAAACATTCCCTTTCTGAAAGAGTGATACAAGGGCTAGAAAGGAGTGCGACCAAAGCAAGACCAAAGCCCAGCAAGGTAAACATTAAATTTTGTCATTCTGTGTTCAGCATCCAGGGAAATTGTAATGAGATGTGAGCTACAAAGGGCTTGGGCAGCCCTACCCTTAGGGTATTGCTGGTTGTAGCCCGCATAGCCTCACTCTCCAGGTAGCTGTGCTCACTGGCTGCAGCTTTCTTCAGCAGGGTGTTTCACATTCCTGGCTTCTCCATTCTTCTGGGGTCTCTGCTGTATTTTGGGCTTCACTGCCACAGCTTCATGAACTGTGCTCTCTGGGACACATTGCCTGGCTTTCCAGGCCTTCTACCAAAATCTGGGTAGAAGCCTCCCTGACTCCACAACTCCTGCATTCTGCATTTCTGTAAAACCATCACCACGTGCATGATGCCAGGGTGTGCCAGCTGGTGGAGCAGCAGCAAGGTTCTGTCGGATCATAGCTGTAGTGACCACTGAGTGGCTGGATGGATGACCTCAGGGAAGCATTTCCCATTGCAGCCCTAAATGAGCTGGGCTCCCTGAGGCTCTCTTTTCAAAGGAAAGCTTTACAGTTTTGCACATTTGACTCTTCCAAGGGGTTTTCCTGATCCCTGAGATGCCCTCAAGGCATCTTTCCTATTGTTCTGATGCAAAGTATTTGGCTTTTTTAATACTAATCTTTTCAGCACCCATGCTGTACATATCCCTGGCTGTACAGGAAGTACTTCCTTGCTGTTAAAACTACAAGCTTTTTATCTTTTGGTTCTAGTGTTTGCTCCTAATTTTCATTGTAGATCTGGTTAAAGGCAGCCAGTGGTTCCCATGCTACAGCCTGAACATTGGTGTACTTTGAAATTTCCTCTGCCAGATTAATCAGTCCTCTGTCCTTTCTATTAGCCTTGCCCAAAGGCTCAAAACATGGGCAAAACATAGACAAATTTTCTGCCAGAGTATAACACACATGGGCTGTAGTCCAGCTGTCAATGGAGTCTTGGTTCCCAACAGAAACCTTCTGAGTGGTCTTTTCTGTCCACATTTCTATCAGCATTCTGGTGTTTTGAACTCTGTCCAGGGTCTCCCACCAAGCTTGGCTTACAGAATTTTAGGGCTTCTCTATCGGGCATCTTCAACCCTTTTTAGAGTCCTCCCTTGAAACACACCCAAAGACTTCTGAGTCATGTGGTCTGGTATAGTAACAGCAGTGAGGCTACTCTTAATATCAGCGTCTGTCTCTGTTGCATTCCCGTTCCTGGAGCTCGGTACCCTAACCCACAGCTTACAGGGGGTGAAGTTGACTGTGGCTCACAGTATTAGTCTGTGGTCTTCCAAGGCAGACA